CCGTTCCATTCTAGCTTCTTGAATACTTCCTCAAGGTAAGCTGTAAACAGATTTGGTGAGATGGTATCGCCCTGTCTAACACCTTTTTTAACCGGTATTGTATCGTTTCCGTGTGGAGCTTGATGGTTGCTGTCCCATCTTCATATATATCTTCCTATATTTTACAATAAACCTCCTCTACTCCCTGTCTTCGAGTAGTTTCTAGTACTCAGGTATTGGTACAGAGTCGATGAATGCCATATACAGGAGTTTCCTATATTCGTTTATTTCTCTCTTATTTGGGTGAGTTTGTGGATGTGGTCTGCTGTTGAGAATCCACTGCGGAAGCATGTGTGTTCTCTAGGCTGGTTAAAATACATACTGTCAGAGATGCGAGTTGTGATGACTTTTATGAACATTTTATAAGTAACTGAAAGGAGGCTTATGGGTCGGTAGTTTTTTTTTTTTTAGATCCTTTCTATCTCCTTTTTTAAGTAGCAAAATAATTATTGCACTTTTCCAGGCTTTCGGTTTTTTTTTCCGTTAAGAAGGGATTTGTTAAAAAGATTGGTTAGTTTCACTGTTGTAATTAAATAGACAGGTATTACAGACATCTATTATTATTTACACTCTTATATGAAACAGCATATGAATAAATATAACTGACATGATACAATTTAAGTAAAAGGGCAGCTGGTGGAGAGTCAGACGGACACACAAATACGCACACAAGGAGAGAAGGGAAAGGGAAGAGAGAGAGACAGACAGACAGACAGAGAGACAGAGACAGAGAAAAGAGAGAGAGAGAGAGAGAGAGAAATGAGAGTGAGAGAGAGAGAGAAGAGAGAGAAGGGGGAATGAAAGAAGGAGGAAGAGAAAGGGGAGAGAGAAAAAAAATAACTCTCTCTCTCTCTCTCCTTAGAGTTAGATAGAGTTAGAAAGAGAGAGAGAGAGAGATTTTGAAGAAGAGATTTAAAGATGAAAGAAAACGAGAAAGAAGATAAATAAACAGTGAAAGAAAGATAAATACAGAGGGAGAAAAAGAAATAAAAAGACACGGAGAAACAGAACTAAATAAAGAACAAGAACCCAACATAATTTTTTAAAAAGTAAAAAACAATAGAAGAAAATAGAAGAAAAAAATCCAAAGCAATATACATACACATAAGAAAGACAGAACCAAAAAAAAAAAAAACAATTCAAAAAACAATTTTCAAAAAGTCAAGATACACCATCCGGGTTCTGAAGAAAAACAGGTTTGTTTCCCTTGCCGTTTTCAGCAAGACTAAAACCCCAACTCACGTAGACAGCCGGCCCTAAGAGTGTGAGTCACAGGAGTTTATGTAACAGCGTTAGTCACTCCCTGGACGCTCTGAGGCACGGGCGTTTGGTGATCGTAGTATTAAATGATTCTCTCTCTCTCTCTCTCTCTCTCTCTCTCTCTCTCTCTCTCTCTCTCTCTCTCTCTCTCTCTCTCTCTCTCTCTCTCTCTCTCTCTCTCTCGTTCCGTATATGAGATCAGGCGTTTTTGCTTTGCTTCGTTTATTTTTGTCTTTCCTTCTTTTTTTCTTTCTTTTTTTCTTCTTCTTCTTTCTTGTTGTTCCTCTTACTCTCTCTCTCTCTCTCTCTCTCTCTCTCTCTCTCTCTCTCTCTCTCTCTCTCTCTCTCTCTCTCTCTCTCTCTCTCTCTCTTTCTTCTCTCTCTCTCTCTCTCTCTCTCTCTCTCTCTCTCTCTCTCTCTCTCTCTCTCTCTCTCTCTCTCTCTCTCTCTCTCTCTCTCTCGTCTCAATAAACTTGCCAAAGTCAAAGTCTCTCTCTCTCTCTCTCTCTCTATCTATCTATCTATCTATCTATCTATCTATCTATCTTTCTTCTCTCTCTCTCTCTCTCTCTCTCTCTCTCTCTCTCTCTCTCTCTCTCTCTGGCTATTTGCATACTGATGATTTAGATGCAAAGGCGTGTGTGTGTGTTTGTTTATTTGTGTCTGCATTTGTTACGTGTGCGTGTGTTTGTGTTGGCGTGTGCGTTGTGTGTGTGTGTGTGCGTGACTGTGCTTCTTATTTTAGTGTATGTGAGAAATGTACATAGCGGGGCAAGGTCAGAATTTGTGCATAGAAGGAAGTGTGTTGATAGATACACACTTTTGGATGGATAGATAGAGGGCGAGAGGGAGAGAGAGAGAGAGAGAGAGAGAGAGAGAGAGAGAGAGAGAGAGAGAGAGAGAGAGAAATAGAAAGAGTGAGACAGATATAGAGTCAGACAGACAAACAGACAAACAGACAGACAGAGACAGAAAGAGACAAAGACAGACAGAATAGAAAGAAAGAAAGAAAGAAAGAAAACGGGAAACACACAAACAAACCGAAAAAAAAGAATACAGACAGCCTAAAGAACGAAACCAGAAACAGACGAAAAAAAGGGAAAACGAAAAAAAAGATAATAATAAAATTTAAAAAAAATAAAAAAAGAGAAAAAGAGAGAGAGAAAAAAAGAGATGAACACGAAGAAATAATGGTAGTATA